CGTCACATGCCCTGGTTCGGAAACTAGTCGTCCCGCCTTCATACACAAAACATTAAGATAGTCGTAACTAAACTAACTTAAACAGTTCTATCTGTAACTATTTAGAAAAGTCAACAAGACATTGCCTATGCACTTCCAGGCACACGAAACTATGTACAAGCACCGAAAACTATTTACACTGCATGGCACCTATTCCTTAGTCCGAAGCATTGGGTTGCTCCATGTTAGCAATGGGCCTCAGATATGGTCTTTGGAGGAGGAAAGTTTAAGCGGAAGGACAGGGAGGTTAGCCAGTTCATAGACGAGCTGGCTACCCTGTGCTGGGGAAAGGGGTAAGGGGAATAAAAGATGATAAAAGGAATGTTGCGAAGAGAGAGAGAGAAATTACAAAAAGATAGCGCCAGAGGCAAGGCAAAGAGTAACAACTGGGCTCAGAGACAGACTTTAAATATGGTCTTAACTTTTCAACATGCACATTGTCACTTCCCATGTTCTCCGCGAGTTCGATCTCGTACTTCCCGGAATATCGTTTGTTTACTATTTTGTGAGGTCTGGTGAACTATGTAGTTGTTTTTGCACCAGACATTGGAGCCTTGAGGAGCACCAGTTGTCCTCTTTCAAACACAACGTCCTTGTGGTGCCTGTCAAATGGCCGCTTCTGTTTTTCTTGAGCCAGTCGGTTGTACGTGGCTGCAAGCTCTCTGGCTTTTTGTAGTCGTTCACGCACTACCGTGAAATAGTTTGATTCTTCTTTGAGCTCTTCAAACTCTCGGCGGCTGATACATCTAATGGCAGCACCGGATTCCTACCACAGATCAATAAGAAGGGAGTTTGGCAAACCGTGTCTTGGTACCCGGTTCTGTAACAAAATATAATATAAGGGAGGACATCATCCCATTTCTCTCCCCCGGCGGTATTCATGGCAATAATCTGTTTGATTGTCTTATTGCCTCTTTCGCACAAGCCGTTTGCTGCGGGGGGATATGCTGTAGTGGCAGCATGTCTGATGCCCCAATGTTTAAAGTATGCTTCAGTAGAGCACGCCATTATTTGAGTACCGCGGTCTGTAATAAATGTGTCTGGGCATGCGTACTTAAAGATGATCCGTCATTCGACGAACTTCTAGATGGTTGCAGCCTGTATGTTCCGAAGTGCCTCGCCACGGTGGTCTAGTGGCTGTGGTACTCGGCTGCTGACCCGCAGGTCTCGGGATCAAATCCCGGCTGTGGCGGCTGCATTTCCGGCGGAGGTGGAAATGTTGTAGGCCCGTGTACTCAGACTTGGGTGCATGTTAAAGAACCGCAGGTGGTCGAAATTTCCGGAGCCCTCCACTACGGCGTCTCTCATAATCATGTAGTGGTTTTGGGACGTTACACCCAACAAATCAATCAAATCTATGTTCCGAAGTGGTTTTGCCTCCACTAACTTTGTGAGGTAATCAATGGCTACAATGATGTGCTTGTAACCTCTTGAAGTTTTGACAGGCCCTATTATGTCTATTCCAACTATGTGAAATGGGCTGTGGACCTCTATTGGCTGCAATAGACCGTAAGGTACCAATGTCGACATCATCCTCTGATGGAGGTCACAGTGACGCACGTACCTTCTGACATCTGCATAGAGCTTCGGCCAGTAATACTTAAACCTAAGTGCATTGAAAGTTCGCCTGATGCCCATGTGGCCAACGTATAGTCCTTCATGCATTTCACGGAGTGCCTCAGCTTGTCGTTGTGCCGGAAGGCAGAGGAGAAATTGGCTGCTGACTGGGCCTTTGTCTATTTTGTACTACACGTCATTATGTATAATAAACTTCTTCTGTACGCGTTTCTGTTCTTTTTTCGTGTTCAGCGCACCCCTAAGCATACCCAGGACTTTAGCGCGAAATGCATCCAGAGGCTGCTCACCACCAATGTTGTCACAGAATCACAGTGATGGACATGATACTGCAAGAATTCGTTCATCATCATCAACAATGGGGGATTCCTTGAAAAACGCTCTGGTGCGCTGGGCAGAATGTCTGATTTATAAATGACATCAAAGTAAAATACCTGCAGAATCAATGACCAACGAAGAAGGCGTTGCTTTCCTTCGCTGTAGCGCAAGACCCAGCACAGTGCATGGTGGTCGCTGACAACCTAAAATTTTCGGCCAATCAGGTATGGTCGTAGCTCTTCTAATGCTCCTTTTACTGCAAGCGCTTCCAGTTCTGTCGAAGAATAATTTAACTCTGCGCCTTTGAGAAATTGACTCAAGTATAGCACTGGACAATATGGTACCTCTTCATCTTATTGCAGCAATAGACCTCCCAACCTAAGCCGAGATGCAGATGTGTGTACTAGGAGACCGAATTCTGGTTTTTCGGAGAATAGCTTAAGGAAAGGCGGCTGGCACAACGCGCGCTTTAATGTTTCAAATGCCACTTCCTGATCTTCTTCCCAAGAAAAAGTAGCGTTTTTATTTAGTAGTGATCGAAGAGGTGATGCGATAACGCTGTAATTCGGGATAGACTTCCTGAACTACGACGTTAGCCCGATGAATGATTGTAGTTACTGCACGTTTCGAGGAGGCCGGAAAGCCTGAACCACTGCCAGTTTCGATGGGTCAGGAGATACACCGTCTTTTGTGACAACGTGCCCAAAATGATTGGTGGCAGTACAAAAAAGAATAAACACTTCTGTGCCTTGAATTTTAAGGCTGCTATTTCGAACCTTGTAAATATTTTCTGTACGTGCGAATCGTGTTCTTCAAATATCCGGCTGAAGACATACGCAGTTATTTATATACACAAGGGAATTGTCGTAATAATACCGTCAATGATCGTATCCATGGCTCGCTGACATGTGAATGGGCCACCTTTAAGGCCAAACGAACAACATAGGTAAATGGGGTTCGGATCCCGGCTGCGGCGGCTGCATTTCCGATGGAGGTGGAAATGTTGTAAACCCGTGTGCTCAGATTTGGGTGCACGTTATAGGACCCCAGGTGGCCGAAATTTCCGGAACCCTCCACTACGGCGTCTCTTATAATCATATGGTGGTTTTGCGGCGTTCAACCCCATATGTCAATCAAAACATAGGTAAATGACTCACCCAAACTTGATAAACAAGACATGCGTGTCATGTAACAACATGACTACATGCCACACTCATGATGCGCTCAGGGCAGTCTCGCTAGCTTCACATATGCCAAATTTGGTATTACGTGACGTCAATGGATGATGAAAGTATGCGACTGGTGCAAACATGATAATCATCAGATGCCTGTCATGTGAGAACACGACTGCATGCAACAGTCCAGGCGCCAATACATGTCGACGTGACGTGGTGCGCATGCTCGCTGGGCGTTCATTTTGTCGCGTCACGACGGCGTTGCCACGCCAGGCACGCGTACTGCCATATACTCGTAGGTACGTGCTGCGCGCGTTGCTTTGACGCATGTGCGTTTCACTGCGTCCGGCGTCCCTCCGTTATGAATGAGGAAGACGCAGTGTTGTCTAGGTAACGCATCAGTGCGAATTCGCACTGGTTGCCGTCGGGCCGGGCAGCGGACGCTGGTCGCGTCGATCACGCCTGGCATCGTACTATAGAGTGCTCGCGTTTTGCTAACGTAGCGTCACTGTGCCCAGCGTGTGCGCGCATCAACGCAACATTGGAAAATATCGGGCTCTTCATGATGTGCTCGCGGCCGTTTTGCTAGCTCTGCATATACAAAATTTAGTGTTACGTGACGTCAATCGCTGACGAACTATATTACTGGTGCAAACATGATAATCCTGTTACACGTGTCATCTAAGAACATGACAACATGCCACGCTGATAGTGTGCTCACGGCCGTTTCGCTAGCTCCACATGTACTAAATTTGGTATCACGTGAAGCAAATAGATAACGAAGGTAAACGACACATCCAAACATGATAATCATGACACGGAAGTCATGTACGGCATAATTTACTTCCACGTGATAACGTTGTGCTGATTGTAAAGTGGCATATCAAGCTTTCCTGTTCATGCTTCGCATATCTTTGATTCCCACTGTACTTGGGATCTGCCAATTTTTATTAATTTTACGGTGTTTTCTTATTTACTCTTAGTGTTCTTGGATATTCCTTTTCTCTATTTCTTCTTCTTCCATGATGAGTAACCAGGCATTGTGCCCCTCAAGTAAATTGCGAATGCACTTGCAGTACATTTACACATGGCTAATTTCAACGAATTGGGAATGTGACTTGAGCAACATGACACACATCAAAGCTCCTGATACGTAAAAATATATTTCAAACGAAAATATCCGAGGCAGTAGACTGAAGCGGCTGAAGGCTACTCATATAACGCCAAAATTATGGCTAAATCACACGCTGCAAACGAACTGACATCGTGCATACGTGTCAGTAACTGCTTGATGCTCGCGATCACGAATATATGTGCTTTAAAATATATATATAAACAAGATGAAATGACCAAGTATGATATAGGGCAATTATTATTGAGGTTGCCTATCTAAAGCGTGCTAATGTCCCTATGCAACAAGCTCTGTCATTCAAAATCACACACCATCCATTGAAACCAAGTGTTTCATGGTCGCAATAAAAGTAGTTACTGCTATCTTGCTAAACATTTGGCCTCTGCAAAGGCTATAAAGCAACCAACTTAGAACATCATAGAAATTTTGGGCCTGAAAGAAATTTGAGAATAATATAGGCAATACATCTCCCTATTCCAATGAACTCAGCTACAATTTAGACGCAAAAGCTTTAGCTAGCCGTTCTATTTAAAATATTTATTCGTTCTTAAACAATTCTTCTTGACATTACCAGCAAGCCAGCTTTGACCTAATGGCTCAGATTTCGAGCCAGAACGACGTTATAGTGAGGAACATATCAGAGATAAGATCTTGAAAAGAAATTTATGCCTACTGTAAATGCAGCTCTGGCAGTTGCTTCACGAATATAATGGACAAGTTTGTACACAAACAAGCGTAATTATTAAGCGTTGAAACAAACATTTGTATTGGTACACAACATACTTTATTGTGATCGGCTGCTACAGAATATAAAAAACCTTTATTTCATCATCCTCTGCTTTGCCCTTCGCAAACTAGACGGGGGCAGCAGTCCGGGTAAGTTCCGTTCCCATTGACCTCAACGCAGTTCTCAAGCGAAGGATTGGGTGTACATCTGTAAAGAAAAAGAAACGTGCTACTGTTACAAACAGTTAACTACAAAAACTATATATGCATTAACATACTTTGTATAAAAAGGAGGGGAAGTGTTCTTTCATTAAGCGGGTACCTGTGTTCGGAGAAAGTTGTTAAGGATTTGGAGTACCTGGTACTCTACTATTGGAAAATAACAAGCCGTCCCGTGGGCCCCACCGACAACGTGCAGTAGCATTGCCAGGACATTCGTAGATCTACACGTATGCTTACGTGTACTCGTAGATCCAAACGTATGCTTACATGTGGGTACCCCCATATGTGTGTCTGTTGCAATGCGCACGTTAATGGTTGCTTTTGTGCGCCGATTTGCTATGCATCAATTGTCATTCAATTGTTTTAGTTCTTTTAATAACTCTAAGCATACTTTATTAAATAGTCTGTTTATGAGAATAGAGTTGAATTGAATTGGATTTATTTATTCTGTATATAACAGAAAGAAAGCAGACGCTAAAGACGATGTGTCCAGACAAAGGCTTCTCGACAGTCCGGTACGCAGGCCATACGTATACAGGTCATTACAAAATATACTGTATGGACTATTCTACTGAATAGTCACGAAATAAAAGAGTATGCGTACAAAAAAGTAAAAAAAAGCGAGAATAAACACGTTATGTCTGCAAAGCAACAACAACAAAACCATACATATTACACTGATAGGCACTTTTGCCTTGGTAAACAACTAAAGTGTGTAATTCAGACACGGATACACAGAGCTGCTTTGTCAGACAAACTCAATATTGTGTGAAATGAGCAATGTTTTAAATGATTCATGGGAGACTTTCACAACTTCGTCGTGAAAATCATGTATTCAATTTAGTAGTGAAGATGCTTTTTAACTTTCCCATAATTTGTTCTTATTTTTCGTGTTTTAGATGGTGTTACCGAAAGCTGTAACGTGAATTGTACAATTGGATACTTATATATTTTTGTGTGGTCATGCCCCAGAATAAAATGCAGTAAGTTAGTCGGGAGTAAAATAGTGCGTAATAAAACAAAATTTTCTGCTGAGAAGGAACCAGAGTTCTCAATCTGCATAAGCAACCAACAGTTTATTTAATTCTGTTACAATTTTGTCCAAATGCATGTTCCAGACGAGAGCTTTCTGAAACCACGCTCCCAGAAATTTTCACCATTTAACATACTGGATTCTTCTGTCATCAAAAACGATTGTCGCGTTGCAGTTTCGTGGTTTGTTAGTTGGGGCAAATATATATATATATATATATATATATTGTGAGCGCTGACTATGTACTTCATCTTCATCTGCATGACAAAACCATTGTAGTGATCATCATCGTATGTCACGTGGGCTGGCTCTCTGGCTCGTGCACCTGGATTAAAGAAGGATAACCTGGTTGCTGCCGTACCGGACGTGGTCTCATAAGTGGTGGAGCGTGCTTTGGTTCCCACGTCCTCCTGCTCTACCCGTCACCCCTGGAGCTCCGGTCTGGTCGACGGTTGTGTCCTCAAGCAACAGCAATGGCAGAACCCAACCCGCCCACTGCTGCAACCGCTCCTTCTCAGCCACTTAGGCTTCACTACACCGTGAGTACCTCTCATCGAGACCCTCCGGTATTTTCCGGCCTTCGCAACGAAGACGTCGAAGAATGGCTCGACAGTTATGATCGAACCAGCGTTTGTAATTACTGGGACGAGGCGCACAAACTACGCTACGTTCCTTTTTACCTCGATGGCGTCGCTAAAACCTGGTATTACAACCACGAGAGCGACTTCTCCAATTGGTCGGCCTTCACGGGGCATCTCCGTCAGGTATTTGGCACATCTGCAGGATGTTCTGTAGTAGCGAAACAGAAGCTCGCAACCCGCATTCAAGGGGACGACGAATCGTATACGTCCTACATTGAAGATATTCTGGCTCTCTGTCGCCGAGCACAAAATGACATGACGGAGGCCGATCGCGTCCGACATCTCCTGAAAGGCATCAACTCTGTGGCCTTCAATGCTCTCGTGATTCAGAACCCGACTACCGTCCGGGACGTCATCACTACATGCCAACGCCTGGACGCGCTTCATTCCATGCGCCTTCCACACGCCTCCTGCGACGCTCGCTTTACCAAAGAGCATGAATTGCGGGCCCTTATCCGCACAATTGTCAGAGAAGAACTTCACGGCCTTATTCCAGGCAACCCTACCGTTGCGTCTGTCCACACACCTCCTCCCAACCTGCGAGAGATAATCAAGGACGAACTGGCATCAATGACAAGCGCTGCACATGCCCCGTCTCCTGTGCGCTTCCCAGTGCCTTCGTACGCAGAAGTTGTATCGCGGGCCCCTGCACCAGTTCCAACCGTGCCTGCGGACGTCGGATACGACCATGTGGCTGCGATGACAACGCAAGCGCCAAGGCTATGCCACTATTCTACATGGCGTCCTCCCCGCCCCATCTGCTTCTACTGTGGCATAAGGGGTCATATATCCCGTTTCTGCCGCCGCCGTCAGCAGGATGAACGACGTAGTTACTCAGCTTACGAGAGAGACTTTTCCCCGAGACCCGATGAATACGATCCCGCACCGTATCCATCCACCTTCCGTCAGTCGCCCTCCCCTCCACGGTCTCATGCTGGGCCTCATCCTTCTCGTTCATCTCGCCGCCGTTCTCCGTCACCATTTCGGTGTACGTCATCACCCTTGCGTCCCGCTCCGATCTCTCGGGAATCGGAAAACTAGAAGGTGCAGTTTTTGGAGGGGAAACTGCTTGTCGTCGGAACACTACAACTCCTCCGTCTCGTCTAGCTAATTTACTGCCTGTTTCTGTGGAAGGTGTTTTTGTTGACGCCCTTATAGACACTGGAGCCGCAATTTCGGTAATTGATCGTGAATTGTGTTTTCGCCTGCGTAAAGTGCAAACTCCTTATGCCGGTCCCATGTTATGCGGTGCTAATGACAGTCCAATTCGCCCGACCGGGTTGTGCACTGCTCGTATTCTCACCAATGGAATCCGTCATCACATACAATTGGCTGTGCTGTCTTCGTGCGCTCATCAGATAATCTTAGGCTGGGACTTCTTGTCAGCGGCGTCTGCTGTAATTTCGTGTGGTCGGCCCCTCATTCGTATTACGGACACTGAGCTTTCTTCTGCTGCCGACCTTTCGTCGCCCAACCTTGTGACAGCTGCGGATTTCCTCCTGCCTCCCGGACGAGAATGTGTCCTTACGATCAAGTCACGTGACATTCTAGAGGGTGACGCTCTGGTTGCTCCTTGCCAGCGCTGCATTTTTCGAGGGATCACCATCGCATCTTGTTTAGTGCGGTTCTCCCGTGGTTATGCAAGCATCACGGCCTGCAACACGACGCCAGAACCGCTTCTTTTGCCTGAGGGGACCACTGTTGCCAGCATTACCGAAGAAGCACCGCTTTGTGTCGTCACTGGTTCATCTGCTTCGTCATTCTCAAAGTGTATGCCAGCGGAAGATGCATTTCCTGCTCTCAAGGCCACTTTGTGTGAACATCTCAACCCAACGCAAACGGATGCCTTGCTAGCGTTATTAATGAAGCACAAAACTTGCTTTGACGTTTGTTCCGAAGGTCTGGGTCAAACAACAGTGACCGCCCATCGTATCGACACCGACGGATCCCGTGTGATTCGCCGCCGCCCTTACCGTGTGTCGGCTTCTGAGCGCAAGCTTATAGAAGAACAAGTCAACGACATGCTCGCGCGCAACGTCATCAGGTCTTCGACAAGCGCATGGTCTTCTCCTGTCGTACTAGTCAAAAAAAAGGATGGCTCGGTACGGTTTTGCATTGATTACAGATCACTCAACAAAATCACTCGTAAGGACGTCTACCCAATGCCTCGCATTGACGACGCTCTTGATACTTTACAAGGTGCCGAGTACTTTTCAAGTCTCGACTTGCGCTCCGGTTATTGGCAGATTCCAATGCACGAGTCTGATAAAGAGAAGACTGCGTTTGCTACGCCAGATGGGCTCTTTGAATTCAATGTAATGCCTTTCGGCCTGTGCAATGCCCCAGCCACATTCGAACGGATGATAGACACGGTACTGCGGGGATTAAAATGGAAGACCTGCCATTGCTACCTGGACGACATTGTCATTTTTTCGTCGAGCTTCTCACAGCACCTGGAACGGCTAGACGAAGTCCTCACGTGCTTAGCTAAGGCCGGTCTCCAGCTCAACACTAAGAAGTGTCGGTTTGCCAGTCACAGCATCAAGGTATTAGGTCATGTCGTCAGTAAACATGGCGTTGAGCCTGATCCCGACAAGGTTGCCGCGGTGCTGCACTTTCCTACACCAACCACACAGAAAGACCTCCGCAGCTTCCTTGGCTTAGCGTCGTATTTCCGCCGCTTTGTACGTGATTTCGCTACTATTGCGGCTCCTCTGCACAAACTTCTGACCACGAGCGCACCCTTTGTCTGGTCGGATGACTGCGAAGCCGCTTTTCACACCCTCAAGCGATGCCTCACATCACGGCCAGTGCTTCGCCATTTCGACCCTGCAGCACCTACTGTGCTACACACTGACGCAAGTGGACTTGGCATCGGTGCTGTCCTTCTTCAGCGGAACCACGCTTCCGAAGAACAAGTCGTGGCCTACGCGAGCCGTACTCTGTCACATGCTGAGCGAAACTACAGCATCACTGAGCAAGAATGTCTCGCCATCGTGTGGTCCATCCAAAAGTTTCGTCCTTACTTATACGGCCGGCATTTCACAATAGTGACTGACCATCATGCTCTGTGTTGGTTATCGTCTCTCAAAAATTTGTCGGGACGCCTTGGCCGTTGGGTACTACGATTGCAAGAGTATGACTACAGCGTCACATATAGGTCGGGCCGAGAGCACCAAGATGCTGACGCTTTGTCCCGTTGCCCGCTCTCGCAAAGCGCCGAAGTGTCACCTTCCATCTGTTCGTCACCGCCTGCCAAAGTGACCAAACAGACGGCTGCTCCTTCGAAACAGTTAGTTGCCTCGGCGGACCTTCTTTCGTCCACAGATCTCGCCTCGCTCCAACATGCCGATACCTACTGCCGCACAATCATCGATCGGCTCACTGGCTTATCGCGTGCTCCAAACAGCCGCCTAAGACGACAACTTGCCCGTTTCAAGCTTCAAGAGGGAACATTATGTCGGCAAATTTACCATCCTCTCGGTAACCAATGGGTTCCCGTCATTCCTCGCTCACTTCGTCTGGAAGTTCTACAAGCGTTTCATGACGATGCGACAGCTGGCCACTTAGGGTTCCACAAGACCTACGACCGCCTCAGGACTCGCTGCTTTTGGCCTGGCCTCTCCACTTCTGTCGCCAAGTACGTCGCTTCCTGCGCGTCATGCCAGCACCGAAAACGTACCACGTCTCTTCCCGCGGGGCCACTGCAACCACTGCCGTGCCCGTCCACTCCCTTTGAATTTGTGGGCATAGACTTATACGGACCTCTTCCGCTTACGCCAGCCGGTTACCGCTGGATTGTTACTGCCGTAGACCACCTTACTCGCTACGCGGAGACGGCAGCTCTTTCATGTGGTGCTACCTCTGAAGTAGCCGATTTTTTCCTTCGCGCCATTATTTTACGACATGGCGCACCACGTGTGCTCCTTAGTGACCGTGGCAAGACATTTCTTTCACATGTCCTTGCTGAAGTCTTAAAGGCCTCTAACACCATCCACAAGACCACATCAGCGTATCACCCGGAAACTAATGGTCTGACTGAGCGTTTTCACCGAACTTTGTCCGACATGATCTCTATGTACGTGCAACCAGATCACAAAAACTGGGACACAATACTTCCTTTTGTCACGTTCGCATATAACACTGCCATACAGCGTACAACGAATTTTAGCCCTTTTTTTCTCGTGTATGGCCGTGTACCGACTTTTGTTCTGGACACCACCTTTTTGTCCACATCTTCCAATCCATCTTCATCTCTCCCGGAAGAGTTCGCCGCTCGCGTCGCCCGCTGCCGTGAAATCGCCCGCGCCAACACTGCTACCATTCAGGACAAGAGAAAAATCGACATTGATGCGAAGCGTCGAGTTGTTGTGTTCCGCCCAGGCGACGAAGTCCTTTTGTGAACACCTGTTCGTGTACCTGGGCTCTGCGAAAAATTCCTTCACCGGTATCTCGGTCCATACACCGTCCTGGAACGAACATCTGAAGTCAACTATCGCGTTGCTCCTGTCAACGCGGCTTCTGATCGTCGTCGCCGCCACACCGAGATCGCCCACGTCTCTCGACTGAAACGATATATTCGGCGTCCCAACCCTTTCTAACTTGCTGCCCTCTTTCGCGAAGGGGGGAAAATAGTGTGAGCGCTGACTATGTACTTCATCTTCATCTGCATGACAAAACCATTGTAGTGATCATCATCGTATGTCACGCGGGCTGGCTCTCTGGCTCGTGCACCTGGATTAAAGAAGGATAACCTGGTTGCTGCCGTACCGGACGTGGTCTCATAATATATATATATTTTAAAGTGCTCATTTGTGAATTGTTCTGTCGTGTTCATGAAAAAAAGTTGCTTCATATAGTAGTTCACCTTCATATATATAGGTGAACTACTATATCAAGCTCTATATAGTAGCTCACGCCCAGAAAATAGCGTTATGGAAAAAATTGAGGTTTTGTGTTACTGTATTCAATAAAAGCATCCTTGGAAATGTCAAGACAACACAGCTTTCTCTAGGGTCTTTGGTTCTCGCAGCAACGTTCAGCAATGGGTGGCTTGAAAAAGCTGATCCCCTAGCCCAACATCATTATAACTACCTGAACAAGCACCATTATCGAAAGCTCATTTGCAGCCTTCGTTGCTCTGTAGTAACAAAGAATTTCGTTCTCTTCAGCGAAACTTCGTTAGGCGTGAACAAAAACTACCGATACTTTGAAAACAAAAACTCAACCGACGCCTACTCTTCTGGCTTTCATCTCCTGCTTTGATACCAGAGCACGCATGCCACTTTCTCCAGCGTGGAACGCAATAACTCTGATAGGTGAGAGAAGGAGTACAAAGAGAGAAAGGAATAGTGGTATTCAGTGAAATCGGTAATCGTAAAAAAGATATAAAAGTAAGAGAGACAACAAGAAAAGAAACAAATAGAGAAGAAGCTAGAACAAATGCGTAGGGGTAGAAAAAGTTAGAAAAAACAGTGATGAAGTACAAAAGAGAGAAAAACAAAATGAAGTAGAATCAGAGAAAGGTTTGGTAAAACAAAGAGGGAGAAAGAGACGCGAAAAGAGAGAGAAAGTAATAGAAAATTGAGAGCGAGAGACAGATATATGGATAGAGAAAGAAATCAGAAGGCAAAAAAGACGAAAGATACAGATAAAAACAGCAGAAAAAAAAAGAACGGCCCCAAGAAAGAGAGTAAAAAATGAAGAAAAGAAGGCAAGGCACTCGGCTTCTTTATTCCCTATGGCTCACCATTACTTGTGGGTAGTCGCCTAAATTGTTTGGAAGGTTGAGGGGGGGGGAGTTCAAGAAGAAATAAAAGCTCTGAGATTTTCGTAATTCCTTTTTTTCTTTTTTATTCATTAGCTTATGTATCTAATACTTCAATTGATTCACAATCCTTTTATTCAATGAGTTGAACAAGTTGGTTTATTTAGAGCTCATGGATATTTTCAAACTGTATTGTGTGACGGAATGCGATTTTACTCCTTCTGATAGGCTTCTATGCATCAAGTGGGTAATGTCTGTACACTTAAGTTAATAATTGAACGAATAATTTTGTTAAAGCTTGTCTACTAAACATGAAGTTTAGCTTCAGAACACACTCTGCAGCTTAAAAACTTAAGCCATTACGCTGGCAACAAAACTTTTAATATGTGCATATTATCGTATCGAGCAAACCGTAGATTTTTTTCTCTACTATAAATGCACTTTTCTGTCCTGTTTTTACCCTGAAAAATAGTCCTTGGTTTTCAGCACCGAGAAAGAAAATCCTTTTAGTTATAACCAGACAACTCACCCTCCGAAGTATATTTTATGAAACTCTGCATTGCAGAACCAAGCTTGGCAAGGTGATTCGAACTGTATACTTTGGTGGTGTTCTAGGGTTATGTTCTGGTAGACGCATTTGCCTGAAATGTAACATTTTCAGATAAGCGTCACAAATACACGTTTTTCTTTTAACGAATAAAAATATAGTGTGAGTAAATACAGCTTAAACAGTAATGTACCTTCTTGCAAGTACTTAAATATATAATTTTGATCATTGTTAACACAAACAGAAAGCAGTATCGCGAGCATGACCTTATGCTAATCATTCATGTCGAAATCCTGAAGTTTATACTGAAAAACTTCAAGCGTATAAAAGGAAGGCTCCTGTTTGTGTTTCTTGATTTCTTCTGTTTAATCACTCTGAATGAGTTTTAGCCCTGAGAAATTAGACGACGGTGAGCAAGGAGAATAATTTTACTTTTGTTTTCAAGATTGCACTCATTTCAGCATGTGCCATTACTAACTGGCTTGTAATAAAAAACACGTTAGTATAAATCGTTACTTCTGTGGAATCCTAAAATCGTTTTCAAAAGCGGGAAACGAGTGACATGCTTAAAATGGAAGGACTCACCATCGACCACTTCTACAAATGTTTCTCCGCTTGTCGTTTCAGTAGGCTGCAAGAGTGTGATGCCCAATACGGCAGTAATAACCAGTAATCCAGCATTGCAGTTCATCTCGACTGGCTATAGACTTCGAGTGTGCGATGATCAAGACGGGTGCGCTCGACTCCTACTCCAGCACAGAATGGCCAACAGTTAAAAAAAAACTTGCAGCGATAATCACAATCATCTTTCCCGTAGCGTCTGCATTCGGTATCCTTTCCAAGAAATGACGCGTTGAAATCTAGAAACACGAGAACAGCGTAGCTGTGGTGCTAGGATATTGCCTCACAAACTACTTGGAACGTTGCTTATCGAATGGCGAAAGTCGTACTATCTGCGAAAGATTGCGTTCTCACGAACCAAAACTTATTTATTTTTTGGGCTAATATTCTATCACTTTCTAGGATACACGAGTTCTGGAAAAAGCTGTGACAGCAGAAACACTCTGAAGCGGATGATCCAATTTCGTCTTGGTGATAAAGAAAAAAACGTCGACACATATTGCAATTGGCGTCTCATAATATTTACCATGCTATAAGTTCTGTGTGACATTCATGCAATGATATTTCACTAACTAAGCACGCAATATTGCCGAAATTAAAAAAAACAGCGCTAAATTCTACACAGACAAAACAAAAACATCACACGAGGATGGACGTTGTTCTCGCGTGAACCGTCGCAATGATGCATTCATAAAATCCTTTATTTCGCGTGCCCGCAACATGTTTCCTAAAAGCAGAATATAAGAGCCAATTGGACCGTACTGTAGAGCTGAATTTTCACTCTTGTTACAATTTATAGTTGGTACGTTATTGCTTTACACATTACACAATTCATACATTTCTAAGCACCATCTAACTGACTAGGCAAAACTGAAATTACACTTTTTTTATTAGCACTTCAGTTGTTTACCCTAAAGTCACCGTGAATTGTTCAAAAACCACGAGACACACAGAAAGGGGTAAATTTTGCGGTTACTGTGGACGCCAGCCTCGAATTTTAATTTCTTGCCCATTCTTTTACCCTATAAAATGTACTGGACGTTTCGACTGAGTTTAGTCAATGTAGTCTCAGAATGCAGCTAATTTACTACTGTCACCGACCATGAAGAGTTTTAACTTTCGAGGGCGACTCTATAAGTTATATTTTGCGTATTACGTTTACTCCACGCTCATTCACAATAAACCATTTTTAATTGGTTTCCAGCCACATCACTGGATCAATTTTTCACTCTGTCCTTGTATGATTTCAGCTCTAGCATCGTTGATTCACTTTATTTTCTGCTATTCACTTGTATCTATTGTTTTTACTCATAACCATTCAGCATAAATATATCTGTTCTTAACTTCGGGAGGTTAACGATACCATTTGTGAACGCCGACACCGCTCGCCGAAACAGGACACAAGAATTTCCGACTCATGAGGAGTATGCGAATAGGCGTACGCGCGCAGGCTACGAGGGCACGAGTTGTAGCCGCACTACTATCTCCCCCTAATACCTCATCCTTTCCCTACGCTCCCAACATAAGGGCCTCAGTGGGAGAAGTGAAAAAATAGTGAGGGCGATGAATGGACGGCGCTGAAAAGACGTCGCAACATCCTCCCCTCCACCGTAAAACTGTAGAACCCCGCGTGTGCCTGTGCTAGTAACGTTTCCACCTTAATTGATGAGGTGCTCATTTCATGACGTCATCTTGGATAAGTGACTGCACAGTTACGAGCGACTACCGAAAAGTTTGAACACTGATTGTGAGCTTAACAATGTCTAAGCTGATTGACCCCACACCTATGTTCCGAAAACTCAGTGTCCCTAGTGTATTCACTTGGTGCGACTTGAAGAAGAAAGTATCTCCTTTTTGTTTTCAGCCGATCTGTTGATATTGCCGTGAAACTATCCATTAAATGTACACTATATAGAACAGCGATTAGGTTTCAAATAAACAAACTGCAATCTGAGAGCCCTACTTTCATAGGTTTCACTATAATATGGTAATTATTAATTTGATTGATGTGTGGGGCTTAACGTCCTGATTGATATGTGGAGTTTAACTTCCCAAAACCACCATACTAATAATAGAGACGCCGTAGTGGAGGGCTCCGGAAATTTAGACCTCAACGTGCGCCAAAATCTTAGCACATGGGCCTACAGCATTTCCGACTACATCGGAAATGCAGCTGCCGCAGCCAGGATTTCATCTCACGACCTGCGGGTCAGCAGCCGAGTACCTCAGCCACTAGACCACTGCGGTGGGGTGGGCTTAACGTCCCAAGATCACCGCATGATTATGAGGAATGCCATTGTGGAGGGCTCAGCAAATTTAGACCACCTGGAGTTCATTAACATGAACCCAAGTCTGAGCACATGTACCTGCAGCATTTTTAGCTCCTTCAGAAATGCAGCCGCCACTGCCAGGATTTGATCCAGCGACCTGCGTGTCAACAGCCGAGTACCTTAGTCACTAGACCACCACGGCGAGGCCATATGTTAATAATTAGTGGACAAAAATCAAGGTCAAAGTCAAAATCCTCAATTTTGTGCCGAAATCCCTGCGCGTGACATCAAATATTTACGAGTATACTTTTAGCGTTTTCGCAACATTTGGAAAATGGAATATAAAATTTTTTTGAAACGTCGTATGCTATATCTATCGTACCCATGGAGGGCCAAGCCTTTAACCTATAATTTTCCTAAACAACGAAGGACTCAGTAGACGCCTTATATGTTTATGACGTCACAGTGTTTGGTGCGGGAATCTCATGGTGGCATCGACAGACGCAAGTCCATTTCGGGCGTTTTCTCGCTTAGCAAGCGTCGCATCGAGGTAAAAGTGGTGCTTTGAGGATCGCGAGTGTATGAGTGAAAACATTTATTGAAAAAAGGAAGAGAGGTGCAGCCCTTTAGTGGCTTTATAGTGGGTGGAGTCCTGACTCCGGCACCCATTGGTGACACTTGCTAACCTAGCCCTCTGTACCAGGGCCCTTTGGGCTTGAAGGTCCGAGCAATCCAGCAGGGTCGCCCGCTACTCATTTCTAGTTGGTTTAGGGTTGGAGGGAAGAGCTGAGTTGAGCTGGCAAGTCCAAACGATGTGGTAGGTGTCAGCCACCTGTCCACAGTATTGGAACTTGCCAGTGAAGGAGGAATCGAAATGTTGCAGGATTGCTGGGCATAATAAAGTATTGCTGAAAAGTCTCAGCAAGATGCGTTCATTAGCCTTCACCAACCCCTTTGCAGAAGGTGGGTATAGACGATGCTGATCCCTGTAATAGGTCGTAATATCTTTGAATATCAGCAGATATCCACCTTCTGGTTGCAGGCAATCAGAATCTAAGCGGGATGCCCGGTGAACGAGTGCTCGGGCTGCCGTGTTCGCGGCTTCATTCCCCATTAAGCCGTGGTAGCCTGGAGTCCAGGCTAGGCAACAAGGGGTAGGGTGGATTCCCCGGTTGCTATTGTTCTGCAAAACGCTTTCCGCTAGTGGTGTGATCCAACTAGCTTCATAATTTCGACATGCCCCACGTGAATCTGGTATGACACATTGAGATCGATGGTCGGAGGCAGCTAGGGCAATAGCTACCTCTCGCGCTTGGGTTGTGCCAGAAGCTTTGAAAATAAGTCCATCTACTTGCTTTTCCTCGTGAATTACCGCTGCCGTATACCACCTCCCGCAGTCAGGACCAGCCACATCCACGTAGAAGACTCCGAGTTTATTGCCATGGTGACGTTGCAAGGCGTCCGCCCTTGCCTGGCGATGACCACTATTGCCTACCTATCTATCTTTGTGGAGAGGGGTCGAACTCTGACTGCACGTCTCTAGAGTTCGGGCAGTCTGACCCGTTCTTGAGTGTGAAAGTTGTGTTTCAAGTGAAGCTGGTTCAGCAGATGCTGTACCCGACCTTGTCTGTGTTAGACGTGTGTATTGGTTCTCAAGGAGTGTTTCCTTAAGCTCCTGAAAGTAGTTCACTACTGCCAGCACGAGAAGTCACGCGTTAGATGTGACAGGTAGGACAATGACCGTCTTAATGATTTTGTGCGCGATTGCTTCCACTTTTTCTGCATCATGCTTGCTCAAAGAAAGATAGGGAACTGCATATAGGATACCGCTAATGACGAAGGCATGAGCTAGCTGCACAGCATGCTTGCTTCGTAATCCCCCTCTTGTTGGAGACGCGTCGGACCATTTGGTTCACTTGGTCCCCAGCCTTGCTAAGCTTTTGTAGTGTTGTGTCAACTCTCCTTTGATTGTGGATGAAGATTCTGACAATTCGAATCTCCTTAGCCTCGCGTATGGGGCCACGAGCCAAAGAGATACGCAGTTTTGTTGCGTCCTTAGGCGATGGCCTAACATGCACAAATTCTGATTTCTTTGGTGCGTACTGGAGTCCGCAGCGCTCTGCGTACCGATCCACTACGTTAACGGCTGCTTTCAGGCTTTCCTCCACATGCCTAATGTTTCCTTCCGTGGCCCAGATGGTGATGCCGTCGGCGTACAGCGCATGCTGCACACCTGCATACCCCTTTAGCTGGACCGTATGTGTATCCCCGCTAGGTTAAACAGTAGAGGGGAAGCACAGCGCCATGTGGTGTCCCCCTAGTACCGAATTCGTAAGGTCCAAATTTATTGTCTTGCATTCTGATGAGTGTGACTCGATCCATCAAAAAATCTTCTATATAATTTGAATGTGTTTGTGCCAAAATGAGTCTCATTGAAATGTGCTAATGTAATGTCTGCATGTTTTCTGCTATCGAAGGCTCCCTTTAGATCTAATGCTAGGACAACCTTGTCGTTGTGAGGGTGCTCTGTTGGTTGTAATATGTTATGACTGAGTTGTAATATCATGTGTTGGGCCGACTTGTGTGGACGGAAGCCGGACATTGTGTCTGCAAATGTGTTACAATCTTCCAAATAATCTGAATGCCTATCTCGCGCCATGGCCTCCATTAGTTTGCCCACGCACGATGCGAGCGAGATAGGTCTCAAGTTGTGTGTATTTTTTTTGCTTTTCTGCTTTCGGAATGAAAGTGACAAGTGATGTTTTCCCATCGAGTGGCACAGGTGTCTCTCCTTTCCATATCGCAATAATGTTGGTAAGAAGAGCCTCATACTCGCGATCAGGGAGGTTGCCCAGCAGTTTCACTGTAACCTTGTCCCGACCAAGGGCAGTGCCTCTCTTCATTTTGCCCTAAGGGTGCCTTAGGTCGTAGTGGTGGAAAGGCTCATCCATCTCTTCATTATCTCTGCCTGAATAGAGATATTCCTCCCCTCGAGGGTCCTGTTTTGTGCAGAGATACTTATCCCTTAAAGCCTCTACCAGTTGTGTTGTTGTCTTTTGAAAATTGTGTAAAGCACGTTCAAGTGTTTATGTATTTCTCCCCGCGATTGAGCGGGATCCGTTAGGCTGCAGAAAAGCTTCCATGTGTTTTTCTCCGACATCTGTTTGGCCTTCATGTCGCAACGATTGGTCCGGTTAGAATCAGCAAACTGAGAGGCATAGTCAGCAGCCTGTTGGATCAGATTTGTTATACGTCTTTTCAGCGTTCTGTTGTGCTTTTTTCGTTTCCATCTTTTTGTGAGACTGCAGCGAGCTTCCCAGAGATGGAGTAAACGGTTATCTTCCACTGGGAAGTCCTCCGTAATGTGTATGCGTTTCTCATGTTTCTTGAGTGTTGTCATAAGATTTTGAGCCCGTGAACTATATCCGTCATCGATAAGACTGGTCCATGGCAGGGACTCACGGAAACCAGTCTAGTCTGGCAGTTCGACCTAATTGAGGATTGCGAAATTGTGCTCTTGAAACAAGTGGTACGTTGGTTTCTTCATTAGTGTCCATTTAAACGTTATTTACCTATCATAGCCTAGCACTGCCTCCAAGACTGGAAGCCCTTGTTTTGGTTCTGCATCACCTCGGTGTTCCGATTGCCTTTGACATAGTTACGAAGTAATAAGATGGAGTCATCATGTGATGTTAGACTAACTGCGCAATGTCGTCACACACTTCGGTGATCTGAGGTGTCGCCTGATATCAAAAGGTGATGCTATCACGCCATGATGATCTTTTGCATTATTTATCCCAAATGCACTGGGCGCCGGTGGTCGAATTTCTGCTTTCATGAAAAATCTAAGACATTTGCAATAAATAGTCGGAAGCCCTATTGTATATAGTGAAACATCTATGTACACACAAGCTACACTCGGTGACCACTTTGTTCATACGTTACCCAATCGTCCAGAATACGGCATATAAACACTGTTTATTGTCGTGTTATAGGTACTTAGTCTGCTTTCAGTTTCGTTTTTCTCTTTGTTTCCTGATATGTACCAATGTTCGGTTTTCAAATCTTCAAGGTAAGTCATCGCCAGGTTCCTACTTTTCACTGAAATCATTTCATCACTTCACACATGTGCCAAGGTGGGCTGTAGAATAATAGGTTCAAAATTTTCATTAACCTCGAAAACTAGAGGCACCTTCCTAAAATGTTTTGTTCATTACCTTGAATATTTTCATGCATTGCTTTTTTTTCGATATTTTTATTCAGCCTTCCAATCACCATGCTCAGTAGCCTGCCTTGACGTACACAGTTGAGTAGAATCACAGGAACCTCCATCATATCTAGAAACCATATAGCTCTAAGTTCAGTAGCACAGCATCTGCGGGCAACAATCTGGATAGTCTCCTTTACCGTCCACCAGCTGGCAACCTCTTCCTGCTGCCATTGGAGAACATCTATAAGGAAACAAACACACGTGATGTTGAAAAAAATCACGCTGGATTATATAAAGATACGAAAAGGGAATTCTTTCTTCAATATATACGTCATTCATTACGAAGCATGCTAGACATTTATTTGAATCGAATAAATAACTTGATAAATCAGTTGTTTTAACGTAATTGTATGAGTGCAAACAATGCAACGATAGGAGAACAAAATCTAACGACAGGGTTAGCGCTGACGTGCACTTGGATATTTATTCACGTTGAACTTGAACGTGACATTGTTTTATTTTAACTGAGAAAATGTAAAACTGGAAAGCAAAGGTTCTATATACATCCACTTCGCCACAGCACTCATGTGATAACACGCGCGAACATAAGGGAGGTCAAATCTATACATTTGATTGTGCGCAAACATGTGCAGTATGATTCACTGGGGAACACACGAGCACGTGGCCGGCGGTCCGCGGGGCGCCAACTGCTGGCGAGATTTGGAAATGCGCAGCATGCGCGCTGAATCGCAAGGGCGGTACTTTCCCGTGTCGTCTGCTACTTCCCCGTCCTACGCTCGGCGCGCGCTAGCGACAAGCTTGCTATGCTCGCGTCTTCAACCACCGATTTCCATGTCTGTTATAAAAGCAGCTGGCTGATTTAAATAGCGTTTGGAAAGCTTAGAATTACATTTTGGTGGGCACAAACACCAGGCTACGCGAGTGATGGGCTTCGTTATTACTTTCGTTATCGCGTTATTACTTATCCATAGAGGAGGAAGAAAGGAGAGAAGCCGGTGCTTGTTTGTGGCGCAGAGGTGTACGCGTACGTGACAAAAGGAAGCACTTGGTCCCAATTAATGTGGTCGTCAGGCGCGTACATGACAAGCATATGCCCAAGGGTACGATGAAAGCGTTCTATTTTTTTAGGATGGTATGGTTTGAGGATGGTATGCCAAAATTTTCCGATGGACACTGCGATGTTCCTTAAGCAGCTCGTCGAAGACGCCTCCACGGTAACTCTTTAATTCAAGAGGTGCACCGTGTCGCAAAATCAGAGGCGGAAGAAGAAAGGAAGCAAAGTCTTTCGCAGTGGTAGCAGGCAGCGCAGATGTTTCAGCGTGGCGTGTCAAATCGTCGACGGCGACGATAGTCCACCGTTTGCCTAGCGGAGTGTTGGGTTGAGGACCAGAAATATCCATTCCGACGCGGTTGAATGGTCTCGCTGCACAGGTCAAGGGTTGCAAAGGGACAGTAGTGCTGTGAGACTCGTGTCTTGTGGCGTTGACACGGGACACATGACCGAACGTACTGGCGAACGTGCCGATACATGCCGCGACAGTAGTATCTTAGACAAAGGCGAGAGTAGGTTTTGAATACTCCAGCGTGGCCATACTGGGGGTGATCGTGAAAGGCAGCGCGAATGTCCGAGTGAAAATGACGGGGCATGACAAGGAGCCACCTACGGCCATTCTTCTCGTAATTGCGGCGATACAACAAGCCTTCACGGACAGCAAAGTGTCTTCCTTGATGAGAGAGGGACCGTGAAGTCGATTCTACCGAACTCTGAGAGAAGAATTCGAGCAGAGAAGTAATCCAGGGATCCTTGCGCTGCACGACTGGAATGTCAGTGATGCTCAGCGATGAAGAGTTGCAGATGGCAGTTGGTAAGCAGGCAAGATCAGGAGGCAGTGGAGAACGGGATAGGGCATCGGCGTTTGAATGTCTGCATCCTGAGCGATAAACAACACCAATGTCGTATTTCTGAAGGCGTAAAGCCCAACGAGCGAGACGGCCAGTAGGGTCTTTCATGGACGCTAGCCAGCATAAGGCATGGTGATCTGTGACAACATCAAACTGGTATCCGTAAAAGTAAGTGCTAAATTTTTCTATAGCCCAAATGATAACCAAGCACTCCTTTTCCGTGACGCAATAGTTGGACTCTGCCTTCGTTAGGGTACGGCTGGCGTAGGCGACAATTTACTCTTCGCAACCATTCTTGGGTTGAGCGAGAATGGCACCAAGGTCGACACCGCTAGCATCCGTGTGAACTTCAGTAGGTGCATTGGGATCGAAGTGGTGGAGACGTGAGTAGCCGGCACGGCGCCGTGAATGCGACATCGCAATATGAATTCCAGCCCGAGAGGTCCGCGCTACTGGAAAGAAGCTGAGTTAAGGGGGCGGTTATAAAAGCGAAATTGTGGAGGAAACGCCGAAAATACGAGCACAAGCCTACGAAGCTAAGGAGCTCCTTTAGGGTGGTAGGTTCGGGGTACTCGGCAACGGCACGCAGTTAGCAGGGTCTGGCGATATTCCTTCTTTCGAGACGACGTGGCCGAGAATTGTGAGTTTGCGGGCGCCGAAATGACATTTTTTGAAGTTCAGTTGCAACCCGACTGCTGTAAGGCACTGGAGAACTTGTTCGAGACGGGAAAGATGAGTTTCGAAATTTGCGGAGAAGACAACATTGTCATCTAAGTAGCAAAGACAGATGTGCCATTTAAGTCCCCTGAGGACACTGTCCATCATCCTTTCAAAAGTCACCGGTGCATTGCAAAGACCGAAGGGCATGACATTAAATTCATATAAGCCGTCCGGGGTCACAAACGCCCTTTTTCGGACGGTCTGGTTCGGCCATTAGCACTTGTCAATATGCAGAGCGCAGATCCAGTGAAGAGAAAACCTCCACACCTTGAAGGCAATCCAGGGCGTCATCAATGCGTGGCAGGGAATAAACATCCTTGCGTGTAATCTTGTTTAGTCGCTGATAATCCACGGAAAACCTAATGGAGCCATCCTTCTTTCGCACGAGGACCACTGGCGAAGACCAAGGACTGTGTGAGTGTTGGATGATACCACGTTGCAGCTCTCATTGACATGCAGGGTGATGACGTCACGCTCACCCTGTGAGACGCGGTATGGGCGCTGAAAAAGCGTATTATGATCACAAGTGTCGATATGGTGAGCAACAACTAACGTGCGTTTCAAGGGAGATTGTCTGTGGTCGAAGGAGGCGCGGAAATGGTCAAGTAGTTGAACGAGCTGATTGCGCTGGTCTTGCGTAAGCCCGGTGTCCACGCTGTGCAACAGAACGTCTTCGTCAGGTAGTGAGGGTGAGGTGGCAGCCGTGACAGCATCGATGGATATCGGCGTCGTATTGGAAGGGGCATGAAAACTGAATATGACATCATAAGCGTCAAGACACCCAATACATTCGCCATGCAAAAAGGTAGCAGGACAAGGAAATGGATTACACACGTACATGGCGCTAGAACCATCGGCAAGCGTTACGATGGCAAACGGTACGAAGAGGTTCCAGCGACGAGTGCATTCTTGCGACGGCATAAAAGGGCAGTTGAATCAGGGACGAGTTGCACGAAATAGACACCACGCGCGACCGAAAAAGCAGAAATGGCGACGTCAGTGGCGACGACCACCTTTTTGGGCGAGCAAGGGAGATCTATGAATGTCGTGCTGAATGGAAACAAAAACAAGTTGTGCATGAACGCAGTCGACAACCACAAGATTAGTGGAGAGAAAGTTTAAAGTTCCATCCCAAGATGATTTCATAGGGCGCATGCGGAAGGACGATGAATCCAATGATGTAAAAACTGCTTGAACTACAACACGAGCAATGCATGTGGCAGAAGGCTGGGCGTGTTGCGAACTCGCTGCTTGTGCGTAAAGCAATGTCGACCAGTGGTGTCGTCACTTTGTTCAGTTTGCGATATAACACTTCACTGATTACACAAATAGCGGCACCTGTGTTGACAAAAGCAGTGGCGATTTCATTAGGGGGCGAAAGATGAGGACTCCGAAATTTTGTCGATGGCGCAGTTCTTGCCTCAGGAACTGCGACTGTTAGTTTTTTTTTCTTTTAATGGGGAGACCGAATACGGGGTGAAGGAGATTGACGTGGGCTGAAGTCTGGTCGACGTCAGCGCGAGTCAGGTGCATCAGGTGTAACATTCAATTCTGATTGCCGAGGGATGCCGGAATGCTGAGCATCGTTAAAATAGAATCTACGGCGACGCCAGTAGCACGCGACATGCCCTGGAATACTGCAGTTGTAGCCTACGGGCCAGTTATCCGACGTACGCCAAGAGTTTACAGGTGCTCGAGGTGGCGAGAAGGGTCATTCACCGCATAAACTAAAATTGGTGACCTGCAGTAATTGGTGGCTGGACTGTATGAAGGTTGGACAGAAGGTCGTCGGGTGGCTTCTGCATAAGTAAGCGGCGCAGTAGCTGATATTGGGGACGCGGGCGAAGGGAGAGCCTCGGAAACTTGTGTTTAAATGGCACTGCGAAGGGAGGGGTCCAGTGCTATTGGAGTCTCGTTGATGGTGGCCACAAGAGAGAGCTGTCGAGCAACTTCCTCCCGGATTTACTGTTAAATTTGAGGCATTAACACGCTGTAGTCGGGGCCACTGCTTTTGAACTCCAAAGCCGAAATATCCGCTCTTTGCGTTTTAGAGCGACGTGTGAAAATTTGCTGCTTGCGAACTCATCGTAACTTTGACATAGCTGAATCACGGCCGGGACGGTCTGTGTGGGTCTTTGGCCACAAGCATATGAAAATAATCGTTATCAGTGCCTTTCAAAATATTCTTTATTCTGTCGGCCTCCGTCCTCCTCGTATCCACTCGCCTACAGAGGCCGATCACATCCTCAATGTAGCTCATGAAGCGCTCACCGTTTCGCTAAAGCCTTCCCCGCAGGCCAGATTCAGCGTGAAGCTTGAGCATAGCTGGACGAGCAAAAAACGAGGTCACGGTCTTTTTGAAAACCGACTAGGTGGGGATGTCGGCTTGGTAATTGGTGAAGCATTGGTTGGCCAAGTCTATCAGGTAGAAAATGACTTGTGTCAGCATCGCAGGGTAAGCCCACTGGTTAATCGCGAGGGCACGCTCGTACTCTGCCAGCCAGTCCTCGACATCATGATTTTCAGTGCCGTTGTAGACTGGTGGGTCACGCAGACAAAGTACACCAGGGCACATGACAGATGGCGGCGTGGAAGAGG